TAGCTAAGTTATTGGCCAAGTGGCCTAACTCTGATAGCTAAGTTATTGGCCAAGTGGTCTAACTCTAGTAGCTAAGTTATGAGCCAAGTGGCCTAACTCTGGTAGCTAAGTTATGGGCCAAGTGGCCAGGTATAAGCCAGGTGGCCTAACTCTGGTAGCTAAGTTATGAGCAAAGTGGCCTAACTCTGGTGGCTAAGTTATGAGCCAAGTGGCCTGAATTTTAGAGCCATAATTAGCCAAGTGTCCTGACTCCGACAGTTAAGCTATGAGCCAAATTGTCTTAATTTGAGATATACGATATAAAGCCACATTACCTGACTCTTAGAGCCATAATCTGAGCCAACTGGCCATACTTTGAGAGCCATGATATAAAGCCACTTTACCTGTTCTTAGAGTCAAGCTATGAGCCAACTGGCCATAATGTGAGAGCCACGATATAAAGCCACATTACCTGACTCTTAGAGCAATGATCTGAGCCAACTGGCCATAATTTGAGAGCCACTATATAAAACCAACGATGTGACTAGTACGTTAGAGGAGCAGTTTAACCCACAAACCCCCACATGTGTGGAAATTTGAGATACCAAAAAAATAAAACAACTCCCAGATTTCATTAAACACCCAGCGTGTATGGTTCCATATGATGACATACAAATGTATCGTTTCCTTCCTTATGTCATCAATCATAAACTCATTAACGTAATAGAATATTTCGATATTAATTATGTCGTTCATCTAAGCTCGCGAAAGACATGTGCGCTCTATAAAAATTGGTTAACTATTCTCTCAGACTGAAAGTAGATATGATCCACTAAGATTGTGATGATCCACTAAGACATGATCCACTAAGATTGAAATGATCCACTAAGATAGAAATTATCCACTAAGATCGTACGAAACCACTGAGATCTTACTGATCCACTAAAATCGTATTAATCCAATAAGATTGTACTGATGCGCCAAGATCGTACTAATCCACTGAGATTGCAATAATGCACTTAAATCTCACCGATCAACTAAGATTATATTAATTCACTACGATCATATTAATTCACTAAGATCGTACTAATCCACTAGGCTCGTACTAATCCTCTAAGATCGTATTAATCCACTAAGATCGTACTAATCCACTAAGATTGTATTAATCCACAAGGCTCTTACTAACCCACTAAGGTCGTACTGATTTACTGAGATCGTACTAGTCCACTAATGTACTGTCTTATTAAAAATATAAAAAATTAAGATGTAACAGTTTCTCCAACAAGAGTAGAATTTCAATGGATCACGTAATGTTATAATTCTATTTAGATTACCTGAGATTTGTAGTTCCACTCATTACATTGACATTTCACTCATTAAATTGACATTTCACTCATTACATTGACATTTCACTCTTTAAATTGACATTTTGACTCTTATTCTCTATTTGACTCATATTGCACTTTTACTCTAAATATATCATCCAATCAATGTAATTATAACACAATATGATTTGTAGCAGAACGCCGCAGGCTGGCATTGTTCTCTTTTATATAAAAAAAAATTTCTTCCAAATCCCAAAGTGCAAACCGAGAGAAAAGTGCAAACTATTTGAAACCATGTAGGAGTTAATTTGTTCCGTGATGTAGCCCAAAGCACGTGGAAGCTATGAACGATCTGAATAGCTTTTTAAGCCTCCGCTGTGCTTAAAATAAAAGTTTCATATATAGAAACTTGTTTGTTGTTTTTTTTTTTAGAATTTCCGATAGACAGATTGAGCACTATTGGAGATTCCCGATTTCGATTAAAACAAAAACGCACTGCCGATTACTGACGTAAGAAAAATTTTCGTGACGAAATAAAGATCAAGTTTTGTGATTTTTAAAAGTTAGGGTTTTTATTGTAAGTTAAACGTTTAAGTTTGTAAACCAAATAAATTAAGTCCATGCGTAAACAATCGAATATTTTGATATCAACCTGTTCTAGAATGGAGAAAAATAATACTTTCATTTAACATTTGTTTTTCTTTAAATGTTACGCAATAAATTATTAATTAACGTTTTTTTTTTCTTCTAATTTTCTAATTTTGTTAATTACAATCTAATGTCTGTGTGAAAAATACTAACACCACTAGCGCTATTATATCTAAAAGCTAGTTAATTAACTATAGCTTTGTTTCAAAATTTCATCACCATTAAAATTAGCCATTCTAACTAACATTAAGGTCTGATGACATATGATCTCACTCAAGGCAAATTATCTCAGAACAAATTATCTTTGGACAAATGAGTTTATACAAAATATCCTTGACAAAATAATTCAAGGACAAAAAAATCTCAGGACAAAATATATCACGACAAAGTAAATTATGGACAAAATGTTCAAAAATATTTATAAAATATTTTGTCTTAGATCATATGCTCTGTCACCATTACACACGTCCGAACTGCAAAAGCAAAGAATTGTTGTATTTTCTTTAGCTGTACCTCTATTGACGAGAGTACTAAAACCCAACCTTTCCGTAAACCCCAGCTACAAAAACATACGGAGCTAGAACGGTACAAGAATGTTGGTGGCATTATCGTGACGCTAATCATTTGTCACAATCTACGTCCGTAAAATAGACTAGTTAGTTTGTACTTTTTTATTTAAAAAATAGATAAAAATTGTTAAGTGTTGTGTGAGAAGCTATTGTTGACAACTTCAACAATTTCTTAACTGCTTTTCTGGCTATTAAGAAAACAAAGAATAACAATTGCTGTTATGTGAGAAGTTATTATTGACAACTTGAGCTATTTCCTTACTGCATGTTTAGCTATTAACCTAGTTAGCTACTTGAGCTATGCGCCCGAAATAAATTTGTCATAATTACAGAAAGCGTTTTTTTTATTTTATTTTTCACTTCATTTAAATTCCAAGCCGGTTTACGACCAGCACACAAATTTAGAGAAAAACAGATGCGCTTGTGTCCAGATCTGGCGCTTGCCAATTTTAACACCTTCCAAATTTAAAGCCAAAATATTTATGTCGGAGCCAAATGATGCGGGAGAAAATAACTCAGAACAAACGAGAGGCGATAGAGTGTGCGGACTGCAGGGGATGACTTCATCTTCAACAAACAATTACTTCATGTGAAACACATGTTTGAAACATTGCGCCAGTTACAACAGACACATTTCACAATAAACGAGATAATTTAGGAATGTAAGATGGACATCTGCGCCAAATCTGGCCACGTCGACAATTCTTAAAAAACATTATTTAAGTAGCTTTTTTTTAAAACTTAATTTCTGTGGCGCCTTATTTGATGTGTATGTAACAAAATGTTATTCTTTAAGAATAAGTTTATAGCTCTTTGTTCTAGAAATAGATCTTTCTATTAGAAATAGATTTCCCTTTGTATTAGAAATAGATCTCTGTATTAGAAATAGATTTCCCTTTGTATTAGAAATAGATCTCTGTATTAGAAATAGATTTCCCTTTGTATTAGAGATAGATCTCTGTATTAGAAATAGATTTCCCTTTGTATTAGAGATAGATCTCTGTATTAGAAATAGATTTCCCTTTGTATTAGAAATATATCCCTGTATTAGAAATAGATTTCCCTTTGTATTAGAGATAGATCTCTGTATTAGAAATAGATTTCCCTTTGTATTAGAGATAGATCTCTGTATTAGAAATAGATTTCCCTTTGTATTAGAAATAGATCTCTGTATTAGAAATAGATTTCCCTTTTGAATTAGAAATAGATCTCTCTTTCGAATTAGATATCTCTTAAGGACGAGAAATAGACCTCACTTTGGACGAGAGATAACACTCTCTGTTGCATAAGAAATAGACTTATCTTTGGGGGGAGGGGGGGGTAGAAATCGACCTATCTTTAGAAGACAAACAGACCTGACTGTTGACAATCAACACAGATCTGTTTACGTGAAGGCGGTCTAGGAACAAAGTTCTAGTACATGTAGGTCGTAGTAGAACGTTGAAGATTTTTTTTTCCTGACAGTGAATGCTAGTAGCAGTGTCGAACATTTAAACCCTTTATACCATACTAAGTGCCCGACTTTGTGCGGTTTTATCGGGATTGTTGGTGTCAAAGTTGATGCCTCTCTGATAGCATACATTCAAGATAAGTTCGCCCATGTAGGAAGAACGAATTGCCAAACAATCTAAGTACAATTTAAGTGCTTTCTGGGTAGAAATTTAAGCTTAGTTTAAGTACGGTAGCAGTATAATCTCAGTGATATCTGAGTACAACTGAAGTGCAGTTTAGGAAGAATTAGATAAATTCAATGGAATCAAAGATCGATTTATTTTCTATTTTTACACGTTCGTTTTTGGGGTTGTCAAAAACTGGGTTGTTGACTGTCTTTTCAAGAGCTGTCAGAAAAGGGCTTGTTTGTTTGGATTTAGATATGAAGAAGGTAGCATAGATTCTCCAATTCTGCTTATTGGAGGGTAGCTACATGGGAATCATGTGTTCTACATCGTGAACTTGGTGGCTAGCTCATGAGAACGAAATTCTAAAAACAACACATGCCATACGATGGGGCTAGTGGCTACCCAAGAATAACCGAGGCTATACTTAGGAGTTGTTGGCTACTGAATAAACCAACTTATCATCAATGTCCCACCCTTCCGCCAGTCCTGACAGAATTGTTTACAATTTACATTGAATTACATTACACTTCGGGTCTGTTCGGTTCTGTACGGGTTTCTTCGGGACTGTTCGGTTCTGTACGTGACTATTCGGGACTAATCGGGACTATTCGGAACTGCATATGACCAACCCATTCGTGCAAGTCCAATAATTAAACTTTTCTCAACACATCTGATTAAGGTAACAATGTAACTAATTTTTAGAATTTTTTACAAGAATAATTTCAACTCGAAATCCTATTCTTATTCCGTAATAGTCTCAAAACAAAATTAAATTTCGTAAGGATATGAAGGTGTGGGCTGCTTAGTATCCTTAGTAATTTGGTCAACTCCAGGTAAGTTAGAAAGGTAATGTGACTCACTTTTGGAACCGTTGTAACTTTTGTCCTTATGTTTACTGCTGACGCCACTGGGGGCCCCCGTGACCAGCTTGACCGTCTGACGGTGGAGGGAACTCTTGCTCGTGGGGTCCCCGCTGTCGATGCGAGGGTCGGGTCTCAGGCTGAACTTGTGCTCACATCGCATGTTGGTCGGCTGGCAACGTCGCTCCTCCTGGTGGTGGGTAAGGTCAAGGTTGGGTCACAGTAGGATAGGCTAGTTAGGGTTAGACTGTAGTCTAGGTTAGGTAGAAGTCTAGGTTAGGTAAGTCTAGGTTAGGTAGAAGTCTAGGTTAGGTAGAAGTCTAGGTAAAGTAGAAGTCTAGTTTAGGTAGAGGTCATTGAGTAGGGTAGGCTACCCTCACGGATAAAATATGATACGCTAGGATTCAGGCTTGTCGATTGCCTACGTTAGGCTAAACGTTTCTCTAGGCTACAGTTTATGCTGGGCTATTTTTAGCTTGAGATATGCTATACTCTAGGTTAGGCTATAGCCTAATCTACAGTTGAGGTCTAGCCTAGGCTGATTTCTTGGTTAGGCTTCAGCCTAGGCTAATATACATTTGAGATTAGTCTAGGTTGGACTACAATTTTGGATAGGCTGAATCTGGATTAGGCTACAAATTTAGTAAGGCTAGAGTGTCATTTGGCTGTAGTTTCGATTACGCTACAGTTTCTGCTAGACAACATTCTAGACTAGTCTAGTCTAGGAAAGCTACGTCTATTCTACCTGCCCCTATTGACTTCATCAACAGCAACATACCTGTATGTATGAGCGAGCACAGATGGACTTCTTGATGCAGGTTCGCTGACGGCGCTGCCTGCACGAAATGGTACAATTGTCCCACTCACCCCAGGTGGAGTAGAGTAGGTCGTAAAGAATCTCTTCGATCAGGCGATTCCGTTTCTGTTTGCCCACGACCTGTTGACAGCAGGGATACGGGTTGCTGTGGTGTGTATTAGTGGTAGTGTTGGTGTGGTTGTGGTGATGCCAGAGTCGTGGTGTTCTTTACGTGTTTGTGATATATATATATATATATATATATATATATATATATATATATATATATATATATATATATATATATATGTATGTATGTATGTATGTATGTATGTATGTATGTATGTATGTATGTATGTATGTATATATACATGCTTAGGATGTGTTAGATTCATGTTCCTACAAGTAAACAAAAACGTAAAATGTTAATCCAATTAACTTTAATGAACCTAAAAAGTTTCCAAGATTTTTCCGAAATATTTTATTTTAGGACGAGATGGTGATTAAGCACCACAGGTACCCCCCCCCCCCTACCCGGGGCCGCCATTAGACCCACGGTATGGTCAGACACTGCCACTGTGGAACACACGATTCGTGGAATTCTACTTGCAGCATAGAGCCAATACTTGGGTGTACTTGGTGACTTTGGGGTTCTTCGTTTTACCAGTAAATGGTTCCCCACCGGGGGGGGGGGGGGAGAGGGGGGTGGGAATTAGTAATTCATCTCCGACACAGCTTGCGGCCTTATGACGAGCTGGGTGTTATGAGAGGGGAATGTCTGGAATTTTTCCACGTGAATATCAGGTGCAAAAGTTCCTGTCGTAAAGACTTACTGTTGGTCAATTTAACAAAGGCGGGGGGGGGGGTCAAATACTGCGTCAGAGGGTTAAACAGGTAGGGGATTCATGGAGGAGATGGAATTCGTGGGGTAGGTACAGCTTCATGGGATACAGCAGTGAATTATGGGATACATGCATCATCATGGTATTCAATGAGTAGTTAATCAGGAGAAATGTAGTTCTTGGGATTTTGTAGGTATTTGATCTGGATAAATACTACTAGAGTGAAGAAGAGTTTATCTGCTTTACTTTGGCAGTTGAATTGATTTTTGTAATTGATACTATGCCCTGCTGTGTGTGTGGTGGACTGGTAGAGCGTTCGACTGCTAACCCAAAAGTCTCGAGTACGGGTCCCAGGCTAGAGTAGTAGCGACCCTGAGTCCAAACAGCTCTAATGGGTACCTGACTTACGTTAGGGAAGCAAAGGCGGCTGGGCATAGTGCTGACCCCATCATCCCTTCATAGGCGGAGGTCATTGAAACAGGTGAACTCTACTTCACCTACTTGTTGTGTCTCCAGGTTCGTAAGGGAACGTTACTCTCTAGGATATGGGATAGAGTTGAATACGTCAACTTTGTAGGCTATGGGATAAAATTGAATAAACCAACCTTGTAGGATATGGGATAAAATGGGATAAACCAACCTTGTAGGATATGGGATAAAATTGGAAAAACCAACCTTGTAGGATATGGGATAAAATTGGATAAACCATCCTTGTAGGATATGGGATAAAATTGGATAAACCAACCTTGTAGGATATGGGATAAAATTGGATAAACCATCCTTGTAGGCTATGGGATAAAATTGAATAAACCTACCTTGTAGGATATGGGATTGCAAATCCCGTCCTCTCTCGTGCAGGTTCTCTTCTCCTTGAAGACACTCTTCCCACAATCCTCCGGCACGCGACACCGCCTCGTTCTGGTCTGATCACACTTCCGGGAACACTCGGTCCATCTGGACCACTCGTGGTACTTGTCGCACAGCACGCCGTCCACCTCGATGTAGTCTCCGCTGGTGTCCGCCTTGTAGGGCTCGATGGAGCGGGCAGCCTCATTCTTGGCGGAGATGAACTCCTGGGGGAGAAGATTGAGAGATATGATGCGCCTGACAAGATTCTACAGAGGCCCAAAGACTGTCTGTTTCGCCAGGTATAACAAGGGTACAGAACTCTCTATCGAAACTGGATTAACGCAAACAAATTATTATGATTTATTGATAGTTTAGAATATAATACATGAGATGGCGTGGTCAGATGCTAGCTTTGCGTCTGCTAACTCGTTAGTCTGAAGTTCGGATCCAGGGCTCGAGTTTGTAGGACGCCACCTGGCTGGTGTTAGAGAAACAAAGGCGGTTGGGCATAGTGCTGACCACACTATCCCCGTGTGTATAAGGTCATTGAAACATTAACTCAGTTAATCCCATCTGCTCCATGTGTCTTGTGTACGACCTGGGAACGAAGATGATGATGTTATGGTACAACTGTACCAATTTGTTAACGAAGTGAAGCTTAAAACAGCAATGTAAAAATAGATTAGATTACCTCACGAGAGTAAAAAACAATGTCTTGTTTTCATAAAAAAATAAAATTAAAATTACTAAAGTTTTTTTATAAAGGGTTTTTTTTATTTTATAAAACGGTGTTGTCGAACGGTAAACCTCACGACTGCTAACCTGAAAGCCTAGAGTTCGGCTCCCAAACTCGAGTCCCAGTGACCTACCCAGGTCTCATAGGTACCTAACTCAGGTAGAGAAAGTAAAGGCGACTAGCTATAGAGACCACACTAATTCCCTACCGCCCGAGGTAACGGCAACAGATTTATTGAACTTCAAGACTTCATCGTTCCCATTGATCGCCACGGCCGATGTGGGATCTATTAGATAATTGTATCTGCGATCGCGTATTCCAATAAACGTTTTTAGGTAATTAGAATCTGTACCTGTTTTCATTTTTCAACACTAAATTGTTTCACCACGAAGAAATATTTCCGTATCCTGGGTTAAATCACGCGCCAACATTAACTAGTTCTCTAATTAGACGAATTAATTTAAAATAAAAAAAAAACGAATGCCGATTATTTCGGTGAATGAACTCCGGCAGCAACAACACATGGGCTTTGTGTTCACATAGTTCAAATAGTTTGAGAAGGGAAGTCAAACCTTTGCTGTGTTTGGCCGAATTCTTTTCACGAAGACAAGGTGTAATTCGTATCCCCTACCCCCACCGCCTCCACACCTACCACCCCAAATCCCCCTTTCCATACTGTGATTGTATTCATTACATGTAGCCTGTGAAAGTTGGGTGACATTGAGCATGTAGGGAACATACAAGCGGGGTATTGTTCTTGGTGTGAGATCTGTGGGGGGGGGGGAGGTATGGGGGTGGGGCGCTGGCGGGTGGGTGGTGGTGGTAGTCGATGGTAGTGGGGGTATGTATGTGGAAGTGGTGTAAGCTGTAGTGCTAGCTGTGTAGTGCGGTAGTTAGGTAGTTATGCAGTGGGGAAATTATGTAGTGGGTTAGTAATGTAGTGGGGTAGTTATGTAGTGGGAAATGTATGTAGTGGGGAAGTTATGTAGTGGGTAAGTTATGTAGTGGGATATGTTTGTAGTGGGGAAGTTATGTAGTGGGTTAGTTATGCAGTGGGGGTAGTAATGTAGTGGGATAGTTATGTAGTGTGATATGTATGTCGTGGGATAGTTATGTAGTGGGATAATTATGCACCAGTGTTAGTAATGTAGTGGGATAGTTATGTAGTGGGATAGTTATATAGTGGGGTAGTTATGTAGTGGGATAATTATGCAGCAGAGCTAGTAATGGGACGGTTAGGTAGGGGTGTAGTTATGTAGTGGGATAGTAATGTAGTGGGATAGTTATGCATCAGTGCCAGTTTTGTAGGGGTAGTTATGAGCTAGTGATAGTCATGTTTTTGGTGCAGTGCTACAGTGGTGTAGCTATGTGGTAATGCTAGTGATGTAGTCGAGTATTGCCTTGTCAAAGCTAATGATGTAACACATCAACAAACACCAACTCGGCTACTGCAGAAAAATCCCGCAAAGTTAATTAGACGTTTAAAAATACATTTTATGCACAACAAACCTGCAACTACATGGAAAAGTACACCACACCGTAGCCAAGCCTGAAATACCTCGTAAAAACCAGCCCGCGTAACGAAAACCACCTCAGTGTAAACCCAACAACACCCGTAACATCTTGCTTCTGGTGGGTTTAGGTACATTAGGTGGATGAAAGGTGGGGGATGGATGCGGAGGGAATGACATGACATAAATCTCGCAGTTCTTTTAATCCAATGTATTTAGTATCGAAGCCGTCCACACCAATTCCCACACAAAATCCCACACCTACTCCTACACCAACCCCAGCTCCCCAACCTACTCCCACTCCTGTCGCACCCTCCGCTCTAGCCCCTGTCACTATACCCTCCCCCCCGGGTTTTTTTCAACCGTCACCATCTCCCCTCCACCCACCCAACCCTCCCCCTCTTCTCTCCCCTACCCTCACCTCCCTAACCTTCTCCTCAACCCATCCTCGCCTCCCCCACCCTCACCGCTCATTCAAAATTCACCTCCTATTTGTTACTTCACTACCTCACCCAACCTCGCACCCTCACTTCCCTAACACACCACCCCTACCCTTACCCTCTCCTCCCACACAACCTCACCCCCACCCAACCTTCAGCACTCACCTCACCTATCCCCCCACTCACACACCCACCCTCACCACCCACACAACCCCCAATCCACCTCACCTCCCTACCACACCACCCCTACCCTTACCCTCCCACACAACCTCACCCCCACCCAACCTCCCACCCTCACCTCCCTACCCCCCACTCAAACACCCACCCTCAACACCAACACAACCTCCCACTCCACTCCACCTCACCCCCCCCCCCCCCACCCCTCATCTACGACTGACATAAATCAGACCACTGCCTGTCATAAATCAACTCATTTGGCTGGTATTGTACACCACGGCAAGTACAGATGAAGCGCTCGGAAAACGTAAGATGGGGGGGGGGGGGGGGAATTTTGACGGCTCTTCTGAAAAACATTACACCTCAAGAATGCACACACTTTGCTGGCCAGATCAATTTTTACTTCGTGAGACAGATACGTCACACATGTTTCACATTCCGAATAATGTTTTTTTCTTATAAATATATTTCTTGTTTATTGTTTTTACTTACAAATTTGTTCACAGGAGAGAGAAAAAAAAATTCCATGTCCTAATCGGCAGATCATTTTATTTTTTTGTAAGAATCTAGGACAAGAAATGTCAGTAAAACCTGGCTACATGTCAAAAATGAATTCCACGCACAATCTAGTTAGGAGAGAATGTTCATCTCGTAAGTGTTTGGTCTCTTATAGAGGACTTACTTTTAAGCTTTTAACTAGCGTTGGGATTTGTTTTATTTCCTCACAGAGGATTTTTGTTCACCCTTTTTTTTTTCTTAAGAGAGAAAAGAAAAAAGAAGAACGAAATGACGTCATCGATAATTTGGTTTTCTCTCCCCCTTCTAGGTGACCTAGTTTTTTATTTACAATAAATTTTTGTCTATCAGAGTGTATGGATGTCGAGAATTGTCAATCTTGTACGCAGAGGAATGGGGGGGGGATTAGGAAACATGAAACTTGACCTACCACCCCCCCCCCCCCCGGAGCTTGTATGAGGTAAGGGGATCGAATCGAGGTTGGACGTCGTCCTTGACCCTTTTGAACTTGCAGTCTAAAAATGTTGGATTGTTGTTGTTTTTGTGTTATTTTTTTTCTCACTGTTTGACGTATTGTAACAATTACTAGCTGTAAAATTTGTGACGATTGGCATTTACCCCGGTTGTTTTTGTGTTTTTTTTTCTCACTGTTAGACGTATTGTAACAATTACTTGCTGTAACATTTGTGACGCTTTGGCATTTACCCCGGTGGCTAAGAAGAATCGGCCAGATTAATATTTTCAGAATGGACCAAATACGTGTTTGGTTCAATTCGTCTTGCACGTTTTTAAAACAAATTACACTTTTATTAAAGTAATTCAAATTTGATATTTTAAGAATGTATGCAATAAAATTTGATATTGTAGATAATTGTTTTTTTTTTTTGCTACATTCTATTTGCATGCATGTGTTATGTTAACTTGACCTTTCATAGTTGCAATACAAATATTTATTAGCTATATTTAATCAGACCAAAATTATTTCTGCTCGTCGTGTAAATATTTTCATCTGTGGCATTTGGAAGAGTGTAATACAATACAGTTTTTTTTTAATAAAAATAAAATATTTAAAATATTTTGCTCAAATTTTTCGGGAATTCCCGTTAATTAATACATTTGAACGACAGCGTGACATTATTTTTTTTGTTTACTGGACCACGTGGTGTAGAGGGGAAAACCAAAATTATTTAGCTTTTTAACTTTTTTTTTTTTTTTTTTTTTTTTTTTTTTTTAAGTTAGCGAAAATATGAATAACACAACTGCTTTCAATTTGTTGAAATTGATTAAAAAGAATGTTTTTTTTAAAAATAACAATGCATACAATTTTCAAACGCTAGCTATCCACACTTCCTCTGTGTTGAGGATAGTGTTTTGGGATAAGTGGGTGTGGGGGATAGGGTTTTAGGAAAAGTGGGTGTGGGGTATAGGGTTTTAAAGTGGGGTGGGGATAGGGTTTTAGGAAAAGTGGGTGTGGGGGATAGGGTTTTAAAGTGGGGTGGGGGATAGGGTTTTAAAGTGTGTGGGGATAGGGTTTTGGGATAGGTGTGTGTGGGGGATAGGGTTTTAAAGTGGGTGTGGGGAATAGGGTTTTAAAGAGGGTGTGGGGGATAGGGTTTTAAAGTGTGTGGGGGATAGGTCAAACGATGTGGTCAGGGTTTTACGGCGCGGTCTCAAGTTCAGGTTCAGCGACGTGTGGGACACACATAAGAGTGTCCAGTTCCAGCAGATCTGGCACTTTGCCAGCCGTCTAGTGCAGCAAGCCGACATTTTATGTGGGGGAACGATCTCTTCTTCTCTGGTCTCCGTTTCTTCTCCGTCTTGGTGTGTGTATATGTGTGTGTATC